CGTGGTCGACGCTGGTCGACGAGCTGGATGCGACGATCGACAAGGAGCTCGACTTCCTTCGCGACGCGCTGCAGCACGTCCAGCACTTTACGTCGCTGACGGTGCCGACCATCTTTGCCGACGACCTCAAGCACATTGCGACGACCCGCAGCCATCTCAAGGTGATTGTCGACGACGCGCGCAAGAGCAAGGGCGAGTTCCGCGACAAGGTGCTAACAGCGCTGCAGTCGCACCTCAAGAAGACGCTCGGGCAGCTCAAGGACAAGCTGCTGCGTCTCTGGGCGCCCAAGTTTGACGCCAAGGACATGAGCGCGCGCGCCGAGTGCATGCTTCTCTTCCAGATGGCGCAGCGCTCGACGATGGATGCGCAGCTGCAAAAGATGAGCGAAGCTGTCTTGGACGTGGTCGCCGAAGCCATTTCGCCGACGACCGAAGACGATGCAGCGGACGAGACAACGCAGCTCCACGGCGAGATCGAGGCGCTCAAGGCCAAGGTGGACGCCCAGTCCGAGACGATGGCGGCCATGGCAGCCAAGCTCAACTTGGCGGTCTCGCTTCTGCTTCAGCTCAAGGACGCCAAGGAGGACGTTGAAGGCGCCTAAGTAGCGGCCCACCGAATGGTGTTCGGGTTGCATAAGACAATAATGTATGCATTGATGAACGTGCTATATCTCGCCAGGGCTACCATGCACATGTACACGTGTTACGACGGGTGCTTTGGTGCATGCCAACGCACCAGTCTCGCTCAGCGGGAGTCTAGCCACCGCAGACGCGGCGATGGCAAATATCACCGTACCATAATTGATTATAACAGCGGCGACACCAAGCAGCGGTGCTAAGAGAGCTGCTCTACGCCTCGGTCGTAGGCGAGCAAGCCCATCCAGAGTCGAAACACTGTATGCGTTCCTGTGCCAGTCAGACATGTGAATCGAGTTATTGCCAGGCCGGTGGCGTAGCAACAACTCGGCTCATTTGCGTGCGTCTCGCCACTTGCGATGGCGCCCATGACACCCGCGCGTCGCCAGCATGGGTCCAGGTAGACGACGACGACCAGCGCATACTCTTCGTCGCCGGAGCCTTCGTGCGGCATCGTGTACTGGGTGAGGTCCACAACGACTGTAGATCGGGTCGGCGGCCGTCTCGGTCCTGGACGACACGCGGAAAGAGCTACCGCATCAACCTCGTCGACACACGAGGCCACGGCGACGTGACGAGCAAGGTCGAGCCGCCCGACCACGTCCGTCATGGCGCTGTCTTTGTTGGCGTCGAAGGTAGTGCAACCGTATTGCCGGTAGCGTCGGCTGCATTAAGTCGATCTGTAGCCCAGTCCGAGACCGACGTCCTATCGCGACGAGACAGCGATGCGTGCAGGCGCCTTCCTTGCACAACCACGATCGATGGAATACACGTACCGCTGTAGAGCCTTGCCACAATGAAGGGCTCTATTCCTCGACGGGATGTTGCCAGTGCTCAAGCAGTCCTCTACATATTGCTTTGCGACTGCCAGTCCAATTCCTTATAATGAGCCGCGACGTAGACGCTGTGAGCTCGATACATTGATACACAAAACACTGGAATGGATTGTCGAGGGCATCAAATAATGGCTGTCGTCTGCAGCCTGTTTTGACAAGCATGCGATTGAGACGGGGCTGCCATGGACGATGCCATTGGCCAACAATACGACACCTTTTTGGCCAATCAAACGCTCCTTTTCGATGGACGACAATGGCAACCCAACCTGCACCCAGCGCCTGTCTGACAGCGCGATCACAGCGCTCCTGGCGACACGCGGTCAAGTCCAAGCTGGAGACGACGGCTGGAGGGTCCAGCCCTCTGACGCTAGCCCCACCAGATCTTTCGAGCTCCCCATCATGGCGGTCCTTCGGTGACGGCAGCACTACTCTCGACCTTGCCCCAGCATTGGCGCCTCGCCGATCACGATGATGATGCCCCTTCGCGACATCTGAGTAGCGGCGCTGGTCACAGTGGACCTCCATGAACAGCTGGCATTGGTGATGGCTTGTCTGGGGCTGCGGATTGCCATTTGAGAAGCGGTCATGGGACGGAACGTGGCTGCCACGATGCTCTCGCGCATGGCCCAACACAAGGAGCACGAGGTGCTGCAGCATTTACTGCAGTCGCCCGACCCTCTACCTGGCATCGACCTTTTGGCGATCGACCAGGTACCACCTTCTCGCTACTTCCATTCCCGGCCACTCATCGCGCGCAGAATGGCGACTCGGTGCTGTCGCTCGCGGCGCTGCGCGGCAACCTTGCGCTCGTTCAAGCTATCGTGACGTCTGCGTCTCCCGACGCGCTGGCCCAGGTTTCGATCCCCGAAATGGCAGGCTTTTCAACCGGTTTAATATGTAGGTAGCGTGGACGACACTGCAGCGCGCAGCGGCCAACCCGCACCAAAGCGTCGTCGAGTACCTCTGGCACGTGCTCCCGAGCAGCGCGACGCTCGTGTCGCCCAGCGTACGCATGCTTTCTGCTGCATACAGACAGTGGCATTGAAGGCGTAGACGGGCAACTCGCTTCTGCACGAAGCAGTCGAAGGTGGCCACCTCCAACTCCTTCGTTGGCTGGTCCCTCGCTGTACCGAAGCGCTCGACGTCTGCAATCACGTACGACAATGTACAATATTGTCTTTCGTATCCCAAGGTAAAACTAGGCGGGCGAAACCCCGTACCTGACGGCGCTGCGTCACGTCGACCATGCCAGCGCCGATCTGCTCATCGCCGCGGGTGCCAGCACCCATGTCTGCAGTGCGGTACGCTGTACTGCAAGTGAATCGGCTCGACACTCGACCTGGCTAGACGGGCGACTCGGCCTTGCACTACGTCCTCCGCTTCCCGCCCAATGAAGACACGCTCGTCGACGCCGTCGAGCGACTCTTGGCCGACGATGTGCGCGTCGATGCTACCAACCACGTACGTCCTACGGCCGGTATATTTGCTTGTAACCAAAGTGAAAGGCTGGGGAGCGGCCGCTGGACCTGACATCGAACGCTCGCATCCTCGAGCTATTGCACACGGAGATGGCCTTCCGCACCGACTTTCCGTTGCACTGCCTCGTCCGGAGCAAGAACCTCGACCGACTGGACGCGTGGTTTGCAGCAATGCACCTCGAGCATCCCGACCATGCTGAAGCGGCGATTGCTATGGCGCTCACAACGCCCAATGCGGTTCGAGTCTTATTCATATGTCCATTTTCTTATCTTGTACTGCGACTAGCACGGCCGGACGCCGCTCATGTACGCCGCACGCATCTTTGACGAAGCAGCCGATACGAACCAAGCCATCTATCGCATGCTGCCGCACGTGCCGGCCGACGCGATTGCCGCCAAAGATCAAGTACGCCTCTCATTCGTATCAAGTTGATAGATGATATACGTTTCAATGTAGGATGGCAAGACCGTGCTCGACATGCTTCTGCGGCGCGTGCTCGTCTGCGCTACGAACGCGCATGGCGCGTCGTCGGCGCCCCTTCTGCGAGTGATCCACGCGGTGTGTCGGAAAGGCCATGTCGCGATCGACTTTGCCCACTTGGTACAAAATGCTCGCCAGAAGCGGCTGATGGCATTCTTATTCGATGCTTATTGTAGCCGCCCGAGTACCTCCATGCAACGCGGTCCCTCACGGGCACGGCGCCGTGCGAGTGCATTGGTGAGTGCAAAGACACAGCGTCCGTCGACGCCCTCCCGGGACTTGCAGCCCGGCGCAACTGGACCGAACTGCGCCGCCTGCTTCAGGAACCACTGGCGGCGGATGTGATCAACCGAACCGATGCGTGGGCGCGGGGGGTGCGATATATCTATATCTTGTACAAACAGTAGTGTCGGAGTGTCATATTGTTGTAGGGCTATTCGGTGCTGCACCACGTGTGCAGACTCGGGCACCTCGCGACGCTGAAGTTGCTCCTCGCGCAGCCGCATTTAGATCTGGACGTGCGCTCCGAGATGGTTGATCGATTGAAAGATGGATGGCAGAGAATGTACAGAATGGTCTCTAGGACGGTCGGACGGCGCTGGAGCTCGCAACCGAAGCCAACTACGTCAAGATCGTCCGCCGGCTTCTCGCGGCGGGGGCCGATCCGCAAGTCAACGAAGATCTCGACGAGGTACCTGTCAGATATACTGTCGGTATGAAACACTCTGCTTGTAGGCGAGTTTGGCGCACTTGCGTTTCGATGCGAATGAAAGCCAGCAGCTCGTGTACGACCGGTGGGAGCTGGCGTACTACCACCGCGGCTTCTTCCTTGTCAACCTTCCGAATGTCGGCGCAGTGCGCAGACTTCTCGCGGTATCTCACTCGATTTCTTATGCTTCTTAGCATCACCAAGTGACAGGCGCACCAAACTCCACTGCATGTGGCCGTGCAACTCGAGTGCTCGGACACGACGCTCGACGAACTCTGTGATACGGGCATCGACCTCGACGCGCAAGACACGGTACCAACTTCGCCGTCGTCTATGCCATGTCATATCTATGCGTGCAGCACGGCGACACGGCATTGATGGTGGCGGCGAGTATCGGAAAACTCAAGAACGTACAGTTTCTACTGACAAAAGACCCGAACCTCGACCTCCAAAATACGGTAGCGACCCTCGCATTGTACCGTTCATTCGTGCTAGATACGATGATATTAGACTGGCAAAACGGCGCTCATGCTCGCGGCCGAGCAAGGCCATGTCTCGATCGTCAACGCCCTCCTCGAGCAGTCGGCGGAAATCACTCCACGGGACAAGGTGGGTCGAGTGCAATTTCGTAACCTAACCCTGCTTGTCGCAGGACGGGCTCTCGGTGCTCTCGCTTCTCGAAGCGTGGCTCGCTGCGCAGGGCCAAACTGTGGACAACATCAATGTCCCGCAGGCGCAGTGTCTTGCGCTCCTCCAAAAGGAGCTCCAAGTCCGCGAAAACTCACCCGAGTACTTGGCCAAGCAAGCCTTGGGCATGGTGACCCAGTCGGTCGACCATGTCTTCAACCACGGCGGGTTTGCAAAAGCCATTGCGATCAGCGCCGAGCTCGGTGTCACATTTCTCAACGACTGCATCACGCTGCGTCGTCATGAAGCCGAGTTTCACCACGTACCTAATTAGGAGCGTCGTTTTGTATGATGAACTGTGTCCATATCCTGCGTAGATGGAGAGCGTCTACGGTCGAACGGCCAAGGACAGCGCGCTGTACGCGGTGCTGCACCTGGATCTGAACGACGCGGACGAGACGTTTGCGACCAAGAAGGCTCTTTTGGAGCATATTGTCTTCAGTCGGCTCCTCGAGATCAAGTGGGAACTCTTTGGGAAGCGCATGTACCTCCAGCAGCTGCTCATGAACCTCCTGCTGCTCATAACGATGACCACGGCGTCGTTTCTCGGCAGTGACGAGACGCCGTCGACGACAGCATGCCTCTTTGGCCTCTCGGCGTGCCTCTTTGTGGGCTTTGGCTACTGGATGCTGACGCGCTTGGAGCCCGAAGCGCTGTGGATCGACGCGCGCTACGAGTACGACGGCAGCTACGAGCTCGACCCGAACGTCGTGATCCCCAACTTGCGCGGTCGCAAGCACGTCACCATCATGATTTCGTACCTGGTACCTCTTCTGCTCACGGTCCTCTGCTCGCTTCTTCTGGTCGTCTTTGCGCCGTATCTGCACCTCTCGGTGTGGTTTCCGACCTTCAACGACTTGATGCTTTGGCTCACAGCGCTCTACTTTGTCTACACCGAGTGGCAAGAGATGAGCGTCGGGCTGCTCATGTACTTTCGGTCCCACATGAACAAGGCGCAGCTGCTCGTGTACGTCGTCATCCTCGTGGTCTTTGTGCCCATCAAACTCAACTGGATCCCGATTTCGCCTGAGATTGAGTTTGGTCTCTCGGGCTTCCTCACGCTCGCGCTCTGGGTCCTCTCGCTTCAGTTTCTGGAGGTCGTGCCGTCGGCCAGCTTCTTGATGCCCATGATGTCGGACCTCTTTGCCGACATTTGGAACTTCTTCATCCTCTTCAGCGTCTTCCAAGTCGGCTTTACGCTCACGTTTTACCAGCTCTTCCGCGGCATGGACGACAGTCTCCACAAGTTTGGCAGTCTCGCCCAGTCGTTCATGACAACCTACTACGTCTCATTTGGCGAGCTCGCCCTGGACTCGCTCGATGCATTTGGCGCGTCGGAAGAAGCCAACGCCTCGATGATGTACGTGGCGACGGCAGTGTTGATGATGCTGCATGTGGCCATCATGGTCATCATCCTCCTCAACGTCTTGCTGGCGATGATGAACAAGACGGTCGACGGCGGTCTCGAGAAGGCCAAGACCCAAGCGTTGATCAGCTACGCGCAGTGCATTTTGCGCTTGGAGACGTCGATGAACCTCGATGAAGCTGGCACGCACGACCTCATCTACCTCAAGACCCAACCCGACGACGCTGGCGACGAAAAGACACCTCTGGTAGCGCCGCGCGAGTGGCTCAACCCGATCTTCACCGAGCGTGTGAGCAAGTCCGACCTGCGTCTCTCCGAGCTCCAAGCCACTGCTTTGCAAAAGGTCGCAGCGGACCGTGAAGTGTGGACGACGCTCATGGCTCGCCTTGATGCGACAATCGGCAAGGAGCTCGACTACCTCCGCGACGGCTTCCTCCACGTCCAGCACTTTACGTCACTCGCCGTGACAAAGGTCCTTGCTGTCGATCTCAAGCTCATCGAGACGACTCGAAGCCAGCTCCAGGCCATCGTCGACAGCGCGCGCCAGAGTCGGGGCGAGTTTCGAGACAAGGTCCTCCGCAAGCTCGAGCGGCAAGCAGGCCGAGAGCTCGCCAAGCTCCAGCAGCAGCTGCTCCGACTCTGGAAGCCCAAGTTTGACAAGGAAGAGATGAACGCGCGCACCGAGTGCATTTTGATTTACCAAATGGCGCAGCGCTCGACGATCGAAGCCCAGCTGCAGACGACGGTCGAGGCCATTCAAAGTGACGTGATGAACGCTGTTTCACCCCAGGAATGTGACAAGACGACCGAGACGACCGCGCTGCAAGATCAAGTGGTCGCGCTCCAGGCACAGGTGCAGATGCTTTCGGACAAGATGGACGCGATGCTGTCGATCATGACCAAGAATCAAACCGTCGTCGGTGCCAAACTTGCGTAACCCTAATCACGACCTAATGCTGCGGCAGTATGCATTTTCGGACGCTGTCGTTGATGTTCTCGTAACCAGCGCATCGTTTTGATCATCGTTCATTCGGTATTTAAGTCTCGTCTTTGTCACTGTCCTCAGCGTCGTCACTGCCTTCTCGCTCCAGCGTATCGAGGCGCTTCAGGATCGAGTTGAGTTTCTCCATGACCTGCTCGACCTTCTCCATCGCGCTCTCTTCTTCGTGGATCTTCTCATCGAGAAGCGCTTCGACGCCGGTGAGAATCGCATGCGCCGCCGGCGTGACCGCGTCAAAGATGGTCGTGCCCTGCACGAGTTGGTACAGCATGACGCACTCGCCGTGGCCATCGAGCTCGGCCATCTCGGACGAGACGTCCGCGGCCCGCTTCATGTGGTCCTCGAGCTTGCCGAGGCGCCGCTTGATGCGCGCGTGCATCTTCTCCAGCACCTGGGTCCGGTAGATGCCGCGGCTCCGGCGCGCTTCGTCGACAATGTCGAGCAGCTGCTGGCGCGTGCTCTCGACCAGCGCCAGCTCGGCACGGAGCGCTGTCGCCACGTCCATCGTCGTAAAGTGACTCACATGCACGAGGCCCCTCTGCAAAAAGTCAAGCTGCTCGGTGATCGTCGTGTCCACCGCAGCCAGTAACGTGGCCCACGCCGCGCGGTCCGTCGCACTCTGCACCAGCGCCGCGTTTTGCTCGGCGCTCAGCCCCAGCTCGACCTTGGAGATGGACTCGGTAAATATGGGGTTGAGCCACACATCGGAGGGCGGTGGCTTGGTCGTTAGCGGCGACATCTCGTCAACAACTGCCGGTGTCGCGTCGCTGAGATGAAGGAGCTCGAACGTCTCGCTCTCGTCCAGCCCACGCGCCTCTTCGATGCGCAAAATGCACTGCGCATAGCTGATCAACGCTTGGGTCTTGGCCTTCTCGAGCCCGCCGTCGACCGTCTTGTTCATCATCGCGATGAGCGTGTTGAGGAGGATGATGACGACGACGGCCGAGTGCAGCATCATGAGCACCGCGGCGCACGTGTAAAGCACCTTCTCTGCGTCGCCAAAGGCTTCGAGCGCCGACGTCGGGGCTTGGCCAAACGCGACAAAGAACGTCGTGATAAAGCTGCTCTGCAGCGTGAAAAACTCGTGGTGCTCGGCGTCAAACTCGTGCTTGCTAAAGAGCTGGTAGAACGTGATCGTGAGGCCGAGCTGGAAGACGTTGAAGACGATGAAGAAGTTCCAAATGTCTCCAAAGAGGTCGGCCATCATCGGCAATAGAAAGCTCGCCGAGTGCACTACCTCGAGAAACTGTAGCGAGAGGACCCAAAGCGCGAGCGAGATGAGACCGCCGACCATGACCTCGAGCGCGAACGGCGACGGGAGGTAGCCAAACTTCATCGGCACCATGACCGTCAGGATAAGGAGGTAGATGACCAGCTGGACCTTGTTGGTGTGGGACGCCAAGTACTTGCGGTACCCCACGCGCATCTCACGCGCTTCGTTGACTGCAAAGTAGAATGCTGTTGCCCACAGCACAAGGTTGTTGGACGGGGCAAACCACGTTGGCAGCGTCTTGTGGCGAAGGGTCGCCACAGCGTACATGGGCGTGATCACCGCGAGTGTCACCGTGACGGTGAGGGCCACGAGAAGACGGCGCACGAGCTTCTTCTTGGCCGCGAGGTCCGGGATCTTGGCACTCGGGTCCAGCACGAACGAGCCATCGTAGACGAAGCGCGCAAGCCGCCAAAAGATGCGTGGACGCAGTGCCTGGACGACGACACACCCGACGGCCACAAAGACAACGGCCGCAATCCCGCCGTAAAATACATACCAGCGGTACGCATACGACGGCGCCTTGGAATCGTCAAAGTCATCAATGAGCAGCGACGACGTCGTGTTGGTGAAGAGCAGCAGCAGGTGCATGAGCAGCTGCTCAACGTACTTGCGCTGGGCAAAGAGCTCCCACTTGATCTGCAGGAGACGGCGAAACGCGACGTGCTCCAGACACGCCTTCTTGGCCGTGAACGTGAGCTCGGCGTTGGGTAATTCGAGGTTCACGATCGCGTGGAGTGCACTCTGATTGGCGCGGGCACCGTACGCGGCGTCGAGCTAGGCACTCTTGCTAAGAGTAGAAAAAGAGCGGAAGAGTGTACCTTGGTGAATTGCACTTCGTGCCGGTCGACGCGGACGCAGTCGTTGAGGAAGACTTGGACAAGCGTTGCGTTGCACGTGAGCGCCTTGGCAAAGCCGTCGGTGCGGAAGGCGTCGTCGGTTGAGAGGGTCACGAGACGGTGGGCGACCTTCTCGCGGTACTCAGCCGAGTTTTCCCGCGTGTGGGCCTCCTTGAGGAGCACGGTGAGGATCGACGCGAGCTGCGCCGACAAGGCGGTCGGTGCTGCGCTGTGGATCGCAATCTCATTTTCGACCACAGTCACCACGTTTTGACCGTTCTAGTATCCATATATCGTGTGAAATTCTGTGACGTACGAGACGCCAACGAGCCACCTCGTTGAGGACGTCCATATCGGCGAGCTTGGCGAGGAGGACGTGGACGATATGGAGATGGCCGGCCAGGGCCGCGAGCATGAGGGCTGTCTCGCCGGCCTACGACCTTGCTGCATGGACCGGTTTTGTGCAAGAGAGTGTACGTGGTTGCAGAGATCCATGTCGACGTCTTGGCCCAAGAGGAACTCGAGGTTGGACTTGTGCCCGAGCCGCGCGGCCACCATGAGTGCCGTCTCGCCGTCCTACTCGACTCAACTGAGCGGAAAAGGTCCCAAATAAAGGCGGCGCACCACATCTTGCTTGTCGAGATCGATCGCGTCGTTGCAAAGCTCGTCGAGGACTTTGCGCTGCTGTGGCTTTAGCATGGCGACGTGCATGGCTGTTTGCTTATGCTGTAGGATCGCTCTCAGTTCTTATCCGAGGGCAACGAGCAACGTACTTGAAGGTGCTTGACGACCGCATCCACATTGGGCACATGGACAAGATGAAAGAGCGGGTACTCTTGCGCGACCTGCCACACGTCGTAAATGAGCTTGTAGCTGGCCGACGCGGCCGCACGTCGGGCCGCCAGCGCCGCCTGGCACGTTACATATCAGTATATCAGTTCTCAACACCTCGCGATCGGCGCACGTACGCCGTGAAGAGCGTAGTTGACGTTGGCATTCGCACCAGCGTGAAGTAGCGCGCGGACGATGCGGTGGTAGCCATTGTCGGCTGCCAGAAACAGCGCCGTCTTGTTCTCCTATCAGGGTATCAGATTTCCATCACGTAGCGTCCAAAGCTACCTTGGACGTTGGCAAGTCCAGGTCCAAGTGCGTCTGGTGGAAGAGCAACTTGAGTGTGCTTTTGTCGCCAAGCGCACACACGTGGTGCAATACTGCGTAGCCCTTTTTGTGACGAGATTAGGGTCTGCACAAAATAAGAGAAAAAGTACCTTGAGATCGACCTCGTTGATGCCTGGAAAGTCGAGTGTCGCTACGAGTCGCTGCTGGAGCTCGTCCCAACGACCGTCGGCCGCCAGTTTGGTGAGGCTTGTGCTTTTCGACGAGTGATGCGACCACTTACAGAGCGCGGGGCACTGCGTCGGCGTCGCGCCCGACTGGAGGCCTTGCGTCTAGAGACGCATAAGCCGGGCGCCGACGAGAAAAAGGTACCATGCGCATCGGGTACGGTAGCTGTCCGCGGTGGCACACTGCGTGGACGAGCTGGACGAGCTTGGTGTTGGACCAGTTCTCGGCGTTTTCGATGCATGTGACGCCCGCCGCCACGAGGTAGTCGACGACAGTCTTGCCTTCCTACACCCATCGTCGTGAGTACCTGATATGGCCAATTCGATTTGATTACGTGATCCCGGAGCTGGAGCGATGCCGGGTCGCTCAGCGGCAAAAGGAGTTCGAACAGCTGCGCTTGGCCGTCCCGCGCGTTGAAGTCCATGGCGGCAAACATTAGCATCGTGCGACCGTCCTAATTAGGATACAATCCGGCACCGCTCCCGCCAAAATCCTAAGAAGTACCATGTCGGTGGCGCCAAGGGCAGTCGCGATCGCTTGTGCATATGCTGCGGGCTCGGGGTGCGTCGTCTTCATCTCGACAAGCCAGCCAGTGACGTACGCGACATTGCCGTTGCGGACCATGCAGTGCAGTGCAAAGTCGCGGCGGAAGATCGGCTCGGAGCGCAAGAGGCGGCGGATGCGGACACTCTGCGAAGCCAAATCGACTGGGCAGACACCGGCCTAGTCAGTAGTGTAAGAAGTAAGCACGTCGGCCAAATCGCGTCGTACGTGGTTCGGGATGTCGACCGATGCGTTGCGCGACAGCAAGAGCTGCAAAATGGACACCAATTTGTCTTCGTTCTCAAGATGATGCTCGATAGCAACGTGCAGCGCCGTGCTGCCATCCTACTCGCGTCATGAGCGATCACTGTGCCCTGTCAAATAAGGACTCGACCGCGGTCTGCGCGTCGACTTGCCACTCGCTGGCGTCGAGCCAATTCAAGGCCGCGCCGTTGTTAAGTCGGACGGCAAGATGCAGCAGCGTCTCGCCGCGCTATTTATGGCCATAAGATACGACTAAGATGCCATGCACGGACCAAGTTGATCATAGTTTTGGTCGAGCAGTGCTCCAAGAGCCAGCGCAAGACGTCGTGCGAAAAGTGCTGGATCGCCATGTGCAACAGCGAGTCGCCTGTCTAAGAGAAAATACTAACTCACGACACGGAATCGAGTTTAGCACGCGTACCGAGGGCGACGTGGCGTCCTTGGCGCCAGGTACGCTAGCAAAGAGGTACTCGACCACGGGCAACCGGTCGTGCTCGACGGCCGCCGCGATTGGTGCCCATTCGTACTAGGTCAATGACGTCATTATACGAGGATATAGGAGGAAAAAGTACGTCGGGAATGGCCGAGAAGCGCGTGTTCTCGACGACGAGGCGCACGAGATCGACGCGGCCAAACTTGGCGGCGAGCGACAGGATCGTATGTCCCTCCTATGAAGCATGGCGACTTACATTGGCTGCACACAATGCGTTGGTACGATTACCTTGTTGGTGGCGGCGAGGTCGTCGTCGTCCACGTCGTCGTCGTTGATGCGGTGGCGAATGGCGCTAAACCGGTTGCGACCAAAGAGCATCACCAGGGTCGCCAAGTCGTCCATGCCGCCAGGAAAGGCCGTCTCGGCCAGCATGTCGTTGACCGAGTCCGAGTGCTCGAGCTCCGAGCGCGCAAGTTCCCGTGCGCCCATGGCCGAGTCTTCAAAAATGATGCCATCGGTTGCCGCAGGATTGTGGCAGCTGGTGACGCCTATCACCAAGGTGACCGTGGTCCTCTCGCACCAGCTGGTTTTGAGGAAGCCCACATTGCCGTTTCGCCATGGTCTTGCGCCTTGGAACAGTTTTGCTCAACGATGGGGGACCGGTAGTAACTTTAGACAATGAGCTCTGAGGGGTTGGTTTTGCTGGTCGGTAGTGTCATCGACGTTCACCGGTGGCGGCGTACCAGGTACTATTGATGGACTGTTGAGGTTCCCGACTACAGATCGCCATTTTCAGAGACTGGAACCACTGCAAAGAACGTGGTCGGACATCCGATAAGTTTGGAAGCGACGACGCTTTGGTCGCCCTCGCAAAAATGGACGCGATCCCCCGCAAATGGTGGCCCAACTTTGAGGTCTTGGTCCCACGCCGCGTCCCTCTCTCGGCGTCTACATTCGGGTATGTACACCACCGTTGAGAGACGAATGGAGACTTTACTACAGTGCTATAGCGTGGTGTACCGGTAGCAGAAGCATACATGAACCAGGACGAACCGATCACGGCGGCACGGCTTGCCGAGAACGATGCACTAGTATGTGCATCTTCCTCCTATCCGGATATAGTGATTCGCCATCGCCACAACTAAAATATATATGGTGTCGTGAAGTGAGTTTTCAGATTCATTCTCCACTCAACATGTTGCGGATTTTTTGAAGCGAATGAACGCAAGGAAGGCCTATAACATTCCACGCAATACATTTCCCGAGTGTTTCGTAGCCGACGAGCTTAGCCGGCCTTATCCGCCGTTCCGCTTCACCAGTTTTTTATCACATAGTGCAGTGAAGCATAGAAGGATAGAGAGATAAAACGGCTCCAGTCGTTTCAGTTTCCATCTTCTAGGACACCAGACTTCCACCAAAGTGCTCCAACGCAGAAGCGAGTTTCTCGATGGGCATTGTGTCGCAACGAGAGGTAGTCTCCTACGGCGTCAGAGGTGTATCAATGGCCACAGAAAGTGGACACGGTAAACGGCGCAGAGGTGTTTTCACAGGGCTTGTTCTACTAGTACGCTGGACTAAGTTATTCGACTGAGTGACCCTTCCCTCATTCATTGCGTGCTCACGCTATTATGTGTTAATGTCGACGCCACACCAATAATAATCTTCGAAAGTTGTCTTCGCGTGTGCTCTCCACGTCATCGAAATCGAATGTCAGCGTCGCTTCGATCCCTCACATTCCGTAATTGCACGACCAATGCACACCAAATGGAAAGCGGGCGGCAAGCTCGCCTACAACGCGGTCGCACCGCACTCGCCGCTGGATGTCTCGACGATGGACCCGCCCAACTCGGAGATCACGCAAGAGGACGATCCTGTGCTGATGCAAAACGTGGAGGGCATGTTTATGCTCGACCTCTTCCGCGCCGGCAACGTCGCCGCTGTCGTCGACCGCATCACCACCAAGGCGTACACGACCAACGACTTGACGCGCCATGTCGTAAGGCATCACCGATACACGCGTCCAAATAGCTCATCCTATCGACGTAGATGGGCGTGAACCTCTCGAGCGCCGCCTGTCGTGCGGGCAACCTCGAAGTTGTCGATCTCATTCTCACCGCGACCGACTTTACGAGCATTCCTGACGTACCACCGTTATATCGCATCATGTGTCATAGCTGTGCATTCTAGTATGAGCTTTTCCCGATCATTGGTGCCATTGCCAACAAGCACGAGCGCATCGTGCGTCGACTGCTGGCCGCGATCCCAACATCGGCGACCATCGCTCTGGACCATGTACCATCATTCTTCATGACGTGGCACCCTCACACCTCACCTTGGTTGCATAGAAAGGCAACACGGCGCTGCACATTGCCGTGAAGTGCGGCGCGGGGGCCGTGGTCCACGAACTTTTACCGCATTCGAACGTCAATGCGTCCAACCGCGTACCTTGCATTGACATGATTTGGGACGGTGGACAATATGTCTTATTCTAGAGTGGACGTACGCCACTGCACATGGCCGTGCGCCGCGCGTCGTACGCCTGCGTCGATGCGCTTGTCAACATGGAAGCCCGTGTCGATGCCGTCGACAAAGTAGTGTGCAAGGAAAAGGATCCACCTCATCGTGGAGTAGAACGGAGACACGCCACTGCATCGCGCCGCGGCCAAGCCGCGCAGGCCCCTCGAGACAGTTCTTCGCATGTTGGACCGTCTATTTCGGGCCAACGCGAGTGTCGAAGTGCGCAACACGGTACATAATGCGCTATGCACACATACTGAGGCTCATCGTTACGTAGCAAGGTCTTCTGGCCGTCGACTTGGCGTCAAGCAAACCGCTTCAGGAAATAAGGGATGCGATTGCGGCGGAAGCGGAGTTCCGAAAGCGGTTCCCACGCCACTGCCTTGCCCGCAATGGCAACTTTCGGCAAATCGACCAGTGGCTGGCGTCGATTGTGCCGCCGACCGACGTGCCGTTCACGCCGGTTCCCGGCACGAGCATCCGCGACCAAGAAGTCCTCGACGGGAGCATGCAATTGCGGCTTGTGCGCTGCCCGAATGAGACGCAGTACCGCTTCCTCGGTATCAATGTCAACACGACAGGCAAGCCATGGACAGTCGTGGGTGCCTGGTCGGTCCGCGACAACTCCGTGTCGATGGTGCAGTCGTACGCACTGGGCGACAGCCAGTACGCACGCGTCACGTTTGTGGGACCGATCGACGTGGACACTGGCATTTGGACTGCGACATTTCTCGACGCGGCCAACCAGCTCACGGGCATCAACAAGTACACGTTTCCACTCTGGTCGTGCCTGCGCTGCAACAAGGCCAAGCTGCCGATCGAGGGGAGTGAGTGCCTCAGCTGTATGGACCCCGGGCGGACTGCTCTGGAACTGATCACCATGGCGCGTCTCATGTGTGCAACGGCATGGGAGAGCGACTTGAACATCCAGCTGCTCGAATGCATCTCGATGCTATCCCAGCTCACCAAATGCCCCATTACACCGCAGGTAGACAAGTGATGTACATGTACCATGTATATATATCGCGTCGACCATGTAGGCATCGGTGACTCAATGCATTGGTCAATGCAGCGAGGGTAGTTTTTTCGACGAAGATTTCGCCAAGCTCGCCAGCGAAAACAACTGGACGGAGCTCATACAGCTCTTGGAAGAGAAGACATGGCCGGCTGTGCACGACTAGGCGAAACCCATTGGTAGGCCGCGTGGACACGCGCGGTGCGTCACTGGGACCAGACGGAGAAGAGCTACCAGCTCGTTGCTGCCAAGCAGCGCGTAAAGCAAGAACATCCGCGCTACTACGCCGTGAACGTCGAGACTGTAGCGAATGCTGTCGCTTTCATCCAGGTACATTGCTTGGCAAGCTGTGGTAAACAATGGGGCTTTGTTGTAACGCAGGCGGGTCGCATTGCACGCCGCAATTCTACTCAACCAAATAACCGCGATTCTCCAGCAGCTGGTGGACGACTGCGTCGATCTTGACGCCAAGGACGAGGTAACCGAAGCAAAGGTCTGCGACAAATGATCGTCGGGTGTCTAGGCCGGGGAGACGGCGTTGATGCACGCGGCGCGGCTCGGCTAACGTGGGTTTTCTCTTGAAGCACGGCGCCGACATGGATGTCCTCAATAAGGTGGCTTGCGAATAGGTATGAGGATCTCACCTCATACCTTGCCTAGGCTGGGCAGTCGGCGCTCCTCCTCGCTGCCCTTCATGGGCACGAAACCATTGTGCGGGAGCTATTGCTGCATTTGGCGGACCTCAACTTGTCGCCTTCGGTATTGAATTACCCTTCTGACATTATCCACGATCGTTGTGCATGGTGTAGACAACCGTTGCGTCCGTGCTTGCGAGTGCATCGCCACGTCCACCAATGCATGACGATATTCAAGAAATCCTGGCGACCGAGGCACTACTGCGCGTCAAGTCGAATGAGCACCGTGCCAAGATCGCCAAGCGTCTGCGCCAGCTCGGCACAGAGGAGGCACTGACCACCAACGGATTTGCTAACGCCCTCACCAGCGACCCGGGGATCGCGAGCGGCTTCTTGAGCGACTGCGTCAAGCTCGACCGCCATGAAGTGTGCTTCACCGAGGTACACTAGTGTCTGTTAGAGGTCGTCTACTCAATCGTGGGACATATAGATGGAGCACATCTTTGGCCGCGACTACGAGTATTGCGTGCACTACCATCTCTTCGATCTCGAAACCAACGATCCGATATTGATCGATCGCGTTCAGACTGAGTGCATGGAACACATAACGATGCTGCGCCTGCTGCAGATCAAATGGGAGCTCTTTGGCCGGCGCGCGTACCTCCAACAATGCCTCATCAACCTACTTTTGCTTATTCTCACGACCATCTCGTGCACGCTCTCGCCCGACGGAGCACCCAACACAGCGGCGTTTGGCACTGGCGCTGCCACGCTCGTCTTTGTGGCGGTCAGCTACGGCATGGTGCAGTGGCTCCGGCCCCGGCCCCTCTGGCGCCTTGCACGGCTCACGTACGATCGGTCTTTCGAATTCGACCCTGACATGAAGATCCCAAAGCTGCGAGCGCGGAAAAGCCTCGTCAAGCAGCTGCTCGTTGTTGCGACCTTTGCGATCACGCTGCTTCTTGTGGTGCCCATCTTGTGGCTGCTGCTCTACTTTGAGCTCATCGATTGGTTTCCCGCTACGGCGCATGCTCTTGTCGGGCTTGCGGCGCTCTATTTTTTGTACATTCAGCGGCAGGAGGCCACGAGCGACATGGAAGCGGTAAAGAAGTCGCGCCTCGCCAGGTTGCAACTGCTCCTGTACCTCATCATCGTGTGCGTCTACGTCCCGATGAAGCTCCACTGGCTGGACGCGTCAACATCTGTGCAAACAGGTCTCGGCAGCATCATCACGATCGTGCTCTGGGTGCTCTCGCTGCAGTTTCTCAAAGTCGTGCCGGCGGTGAGTTTTCTCTTGCCCATGGTCGGCGACCTTCTCGTGG